AGGGGGAAGGGGGGCAGGGGGGAACGAGGGCGGTTGAATTCTATTGAGTTGTTTACTTGCTACTTTAAGACGACCACCAACGTTTATACCATTGTAGGGAGAAAAAGAACTGCTCACGAGGTGACGAAATCTGGTGCCACGAATAGCATGGGGTGAAGCAATACATATAAAACAGCATTTTTTAGCTATTCGTACCCTGTCAAAACAATAAAAAACAGAAATTATTTAAAGATCAAGCTTACCGTAATCTTCCATAAGTGACCCCAGTTGCTTTCGGCTGTATTGGATGTTAGGCTGGGGTGCTCGTTTGTCCCATGGACATACTTGGTGACTTGAAGCAACCAACCAACCGATATCCGTTGCACAACCAGAGTAAGGCCCAGTTATTTCAAAGAAGCGATCAGGAACTATGGGGCCCAGAAGGCCGAAATTTACGCCTGAGAACAGTTTGAGATCGCTCCATGGCGAGTAAAGAAGGTTTTCTTGTGAAAACCAATCTAAGTTGTTTGTACCTGTGGCATTGAACTTGAGGGAGATGACTTGTTGACCATCCTTGTACAAAACGATGCGAGCCTAAGGTCGAAGTTAAAATCGACTTACATTAACCCTTCATAAAATAAACAGTTTTTGTTAACTTGAACATTACGATATCATAAAAACTTGATTAAATTTTCCAAGTTAAAGGATCTTTATACCTTTTACCCGTTTTAATTCCATTCGTTATTTTCAAATTCTAAAAAAGTCCACAATTTTCATTGTCATCCTGACTGGGAAAGGTTATTCCCTTGTTAAGTTCCTATATGCCTTTGACAGTTCTTGCGCTCAGCAATATTCCAATCCTTACCCAGATGTAATAAAGTATAGCTAAGTGTATTAGATTTGTCCTTACTATCAAAGAAATTTTATTAGGAAACAGCTCTTGTTATCATGCTCGTCCTTTAGTGTTTTGTAGCTTTTTAGTAGCTACAAGACCACAGAAAGAAGTAACAAAGAAGTAAAGAAAGTTTTAGGAAGCATACGTAGGAGTGAAGTACAAGAGATTTAGTATTTAGCGTTTGCCAAACTGTCTGGCACATGTTACATGTTGATATGAAAACCAGGCGAAAAACTTTGAGTTGTAACTACATGTCAACCTGGTAAAATATGAAGTTGTGGCAGCTTTGACATGAATCAAGTAACAATCAAGGTTTTCAGTTGGCAGCGACTTTGATGCGCCTCTGTCACGGGGATTACGAAGGCTCTTTCAATACCAAGCGTCCTTTGCAGCTAATAAAGCTCGTGTACCACTTTCCTCACCTCTTTAGGGTCAAAATATTCCCAGTCCATTACAATACGATTCTTGTAATGAGTTGGATAAGCAGACGTTATGTCGAAGGTTTCGTTGAGATTTTCATGATAGAGGGACGGTGACAACCAAATTTCACCAAGGTGGGGTGGAGAAAGGCCACTAACAACTTTAAATACCATCGTCCAGCCTGTGAAGTGACAATTTTACCAGACAGAGATTTTAAAAATTATGTCTTCTCGAAAAAGCTCCAAATACCTAACGATCACAGTAGAAAACAAAAAGGAATCAGTGATCTAATCCAACAGCAGAGATGAACAACCACGGGTGATGTATAAAGAGGAAAGGGAAGTCTCACCAAAGTGGAAAGGATGCAAAAATCCATTTAAAACGAATGGGTGATTCAGCAATTCAAGACGCATGCGTGTGCACGGACTAAAAGCCATTCACGGAATCTCCATGTGGCATCGACCAGACTCTTCAATGTTATATTTACACTAAGGGAAAACTCAAGACCGAAGGCAGCCTCGAAACAGACTAAGATAGACGTTTTTCTTCATCGTTTCATATTCTAACCTGTACTAAACAGACAAACTAAACTGGTTAACAGCTAATTATAACATAACCAAAGTAAAGTGCGGGCTCTGATTGGTCAATTTAGCGTCCCCCATTTGCCCATGGGTGTACGCTGCTGACGCGAGCAAATGCAAAGACTATTTTTCCGCGCGCGCTTGTTTTTTCTGGTCGCGTAAGATTTGTTAAATAAAAGGGAACTCTTTAGCTACAATGTATCAATGTTATGATATAAAACAAATGGTAAACACCACAGCGTACACTATTGAGTTATGGATGCACTTGGGAGGTTTGCTAAGCACTCAAGAAGCTAGAGTCGCTCTCGGCTATCGCCTCGAGCGACTCTTACGCTTCTTTCGTGCTTAGCAACCTCCCGCGTGCATCCATAACTCAATAGTGTACGCTGTGGTGTTTACCATTTGTTTTATATCATAACATTGATACATTGTAGCTAAAGAGTTCCCTTTTATTTAACAAATCTTACGCGACCAGAAAAAACAAGCGCGCGCGGAAAAATAGTCTTTGCATTTGCTC